GGACATTAGGACATCTGGAAGAAGAATTTCACAAAGCAGATGGTCAGCAACACAAAGGCACATGTGGAAGCCAAATGACATCCACAGACTCCTGAACTCTGCAACAGGACTGTGATGTTTCTCAAAAAAATCAGAAGGGACATTCAGGCCCCTCAGTCCAAAACTGCCCCACAGACTTCTCAATGACTGTCTAACCTTGGAGGCAGAGAGAATCACTCAGGCCCTTCCTGTGCTCAATTTCACAGTTCTTGTAGTTCTTCTGAGAGTGCTCAGATGTCCCATGGTCTGTGTAGCTTGGTGCCTACCTGTTCTGGGCAAACTCCACTCAATCAGAGGGACTATGGCAGCAAAATCACAGTATCATTCCTCTGGATGATTTGAATAATATCAGATCAAGAACGGCATGGGCACTTCTGTACAGGCTGCACTAGCCACTGAGAGGGCCTATACATGAACCAGCCAGGGGACAGGAGGTAATATTAAAAGGTCTTGGATTTACTTGTACATGGGAGGGCAGATAAGGAGGCTGTTATAAAGGAGGAAACCAGCTTTTGTTGAAATCTGGCATTGAAAAAGTGCCCATCTGAATAACCCCTTGCCTTTTCAGATCCCTTCCTCAACAGGCGAAGGGCCAATGACTTCATACAGGCTGACACGAGACTAAGAGCCATCACTCAAGAGAGGTATGCCATGGCCTCAGGATGCTGAGCTTGACAGTGGGAAGAGGTTCCTCCTTGCCAAGAGAGGTTTTTAGCAGGGGTGGCAGCCAGGGTGACTTGTGAGAAGCCTCAGTCCCTCTTTTAATGTGAGGTACTTTTTAATTCCCCAAACCCAGGAAAAACAAGAATTCAGATAACAGAAAGCATGTCCTTAGATTTAGAGACATGTCACATTCTGAGAAGACTGATAAATTTTTCTGAAGGAAGCACCAACAGAAGGAGAGAGAATTAATGTGGGATGGTCGGAAAGAAAGATCAGTTTGAGAGCTTTTCCGAGTTCTCAGATTTCATGCAGAACTTGCATGACCTTTTCTAAATCAAAGGGTCATCTGAGGGCCTCCTTGCCTCACTTATAAAATACAGATGTAACCAATTTCATGGCTTATTCAAGGCTTGTGAAAATAAAGACTGAAATACGGAAATAATCTCTTGGCGAGATTCTCCTCAGTAGCAGGTGACCTACTTCAGGTCTTTTTTTCTATGTATATGTTTGGGAAAGAGCAGAAGAGCTGAAGAGAGCAGGCTGGGGAAGGCTTCCTCAAGCTGGGACAGGAGCCATTCCCCTCTCCCCACCACCTTACTTAGCCCCTAAATAGAAGTTTTCCTGAAGAGGCAAAACATTCCTGCTGTAGTCCCTGGGTGTGGTGAGCACAGAAACTGGCATGCTAAGAACCCCATAGCTGGATGGTGGACTCTAATGGTGGATCCTTAATCCAAGCAGGGACTTTTGGAACAGGAAAGGGCTGTAAGGTGGATATTTAAGATCTCAGCATTTACCACTCTTCTCTCCTACCTTTACAGGATTAGGGAGCGTAGTAAGGCACCCCAGGAGCATCAGAGGGAGCTCTGTGAGGACTACTACCCTTGTGAAATGTATGCTTTTCGCCATGGCTACGCTGCTGCTTACAAGCACTATTTTGGGGGGAGGAGGAGGACCAAGTAATGGATGACCTGTCCCCACCCTGGGGCCTGGAGTCCAGGGTATCCTCCCCAAAATCGCAATGGCTCTGAAACATACTCAGTTGCTTGTATCCCTGTATGTTATCCTGCCTGCTGCTTCTCTCCCATGTAGCCATGGATTCCTACACTGTGTTAATTAGCGCTGAGCTGATGTAGCAGAGATCACAGAGAGTTCAGGATGTGGGTGTTTACTACAAAATAAATTGCTGGTTTGATACTATCTTCTCATGACTCACAGTATTTTGGAAGGGGGGTATGCAATTTTCCATAAAGGAACTGAATCTGTGTATCATACATTCTGTTGCAGATTATGGGGGAAAACATCATCACCTTGCAAGCATATGGCTTTGGAAGCCATAGCATATGGATGTGGAACCTATAATGTTCTTGTTCCAAGTTCTACAAGTAGCTTCTTTCAGAGGTCACTGGACAGTTTCAGCTCCCAGTCTTAATCTAAAAACAGTGGGGTGTTTAGAATACAGATGCACTTTTTGAAAATCAAATCTTTCCTCAGTTGGGGAAACAAAATCCAGAAGGCACCCATTTAATCTTAAAACAAAGTTAGGGTGAGAGTTGGTGACAGAAAAATCCTGTAAACTGCCTCTTGTTTATCTAGTTACCATCAGGTCCTGATGTTAGGTGCTCCTTTAGAAAGGAGTGTGTGGTCCAGGCTTAACTTGTATTTCCTTTTGCAATCCATTTCAAAACCCTTCCACTTGAAACTACTCTGGTAGCACTTGAAAGCTGCAGAAATTGAAGCTGGAGAGGGGCTCCTGGTGGTAAATAAATAGAAAAAAGAAATCCAACGTTTGAGGTCAGGCCCAGCTTTGTTCACACAGAACAATTTCATTTGACTGTTCACAAATTGTTTGAAATCAAGATGCGGCTTGACCCTGTGCACAAGTTACTGAGCCCCTCCTGGACCTCTGAGGAGTGAGTATGGCTGCATTCTGCTCACTATCACCAGGGCCTGTCCCCAGGCCAAAAAACACCAGTGCTGACATGTCCAAGAATTCCGTGCTGCTCTGGGCTTGACAGCAGCCACAGCAACTGGGACACCCCTTGGTGTGATTTGTGTAGGAGACATAACATCTATCTCAGCTCAACACAGATGGTTTCAGCATTCACTTCTCCAGGCTTACATAGGCACCTGCAAATTATGGAAGTTGGAAAGATTCATGGCATGCAATCAAAGTCTGTGATGTATAAAGTATCACAATGTTGACTAATCTTTGAAACTAAGTCTGGAGCCAAATCTACCTAGCCCATTAGAAACATGCTTCTCCTTCCAAAACATACTCCAAGGTTTGCCAGCTTTGAAACTAAATTTTGGAAAGAAATGTGATTTATTTATTGAAAACACTTCTGATAGGAAACTCCACCCTGACATTTGCTAAAGTTTTGTCCAGAGGAAAAAATGAGAGAGAAATAATTTTAAGGCAAAAACCTGTACAAATTAGGTACATTCACACACACTTGTTCCCTGTGTTCTCAAGTAGGTGAATCTTGTGATCACCAACCGGAGCAAACTCACATATCTTAAAATAAACAAGTCTGCAGTGTCTGGGTTTGACTTGATACAGTGACACCACCACAACAGAAGGCACAAGGTCTAGTGCTGTCTGGGTCTGTGTCCAGAAATATCCAGTGATTCCAATCCCCAGTTAACCAGCATAAATAATGAAAAACACCAGACATTTCTGTGGGATTTCATTAGCACAAGCAACAACCAAACAGATTTAAGAGACTTCATGCTGTTTAGAAAGCTTGGGAAAAGATGGGAGGGTAAATAAAGCTGTTTGGATTACTAGAATTGTACATTTATATATTTATATTATTTCAAGTATTCATCTGGAAGCATAACTTTCCTAGAATACCTATTATTTTTAGATGTTTATTTACTTTATAACTGTTGCCCTTTTGCTGGAATAATATATATACAAGACCTTTTTCTGGATGTCATTAGTATATGTATTCAACTTCCTGGATTGTAGAAAAGTTAACAGGGACAAAAATTGGGGTTTATTTTAATCCTGAAAATTCTCTAAGCTAGAAGACAGTGTTTCTAAGAATTGGGAAAATCCCTAATGGCTCTGATTTTCCTTGGGAACCTCTTAAACTTTACTTCTGTAATCCTGCACATGGGTCTGAAGACGATTAGATATGAAATGGAGGAAGATTATATCTCTGCTACCAGAAAGAATAATCACACTTGATTTAGAAAAAAACACAAAACAACTACCCAAAGTTGGTCTCTTGGTCTGTTCAGCCAGGAGGAGACCTCATTGCAGTGTACAACATCCTCCTAAAGGGCAGTGGAGGGGCAGCATCGATCTCTGCTCTCTAGTGATCAGTGATAGTACCCAAGGGAACAGCTGGAACTGTGTCAGGGAATGTTTAAGTTGGATATCATGAAAAGGTTCTTCACGCAGAGGGTGTTTGGGCACTGAACAGACCCCCCAGGGAAGTGGTCACAGCACCAGCCTGACAGAGCTCAAGAAGAATTTGAACCAAGTTCTCAGGCACAGGGTGTGAGTTTTGTGCAGGGCCAGGAGCTGGACTTGATGGGTCCCTTCCAACTCAGGTTATTCTGTGATTCTGCAGTTCCTATTCTTTTGTGGGATGTGGATTTGGTAACTTGGGCAGTGGGTTTGGGGAGCATGGGGTTATTGACACATAGCCCATGCAAGGCTCTTGCTATACCAAGTAACTTTAGCCACTCAGGCCCTGAAGAATAAAACATTTTGAAGTCTAAATGTTTAATTGATTATTAGACAAGAGAAGCCAAAATAAAGCTTCTAAATTGTGAAGATTTCCAGGAGGAAGATATAAAGATCTTCCCTCAAATTAACTTCAAAGTGTCAAAAGTATAAAAATCTCATCTCCAAAGTGATTCTGTGAAATTATGAAACTGTCTGAAAAACTACTGTGTTTTCCCTATGCAAACTGAATTACAGGTTTCTTTACCCTCAGGGTAATGAGTCAATGTGAGGTGGAGGAAAAGGTCACCATTGTGTTCAGTCTCATTTGAGAAACTCCACATGAGAGAGCCCGATCACATGAAAAGAATTGCTCTATTTCAGTGTGTGCTGGTCTCTCCTCTGGCTTTCTAGAATGACCGAATGACTTTCAAGTTTGTAAGAAAAATGATTTTTTTTTAATCCAGCTGTTTTTCTTCAACAACACCATTCAAAACCTCAGATAAAATCTTCTGGAAATGCCCCGAGTCCTGAGATGGATGCCAAAATGACTGCCAGGACCCAGTATATCCCAGCCCAAAGGACGGGCTTTGTTTTGGAGCACAGACACAGGAACACAAGCCAGATTCCCTGATCTCTCCAAGAAATCACAGGATATAAACTGCTGCCCAAAAGCAAGCCCCGGAGAACTTCAATAACCTCCAGGAAAGCTCTGAGGTTAGGGAGACTAGCACAGCCAAAGAAGACATGAGGAGTCTGCTGGCACTGCTGATCGTGACTCTGGCCCTGGCAGCATTCTGCTGTTGTGAGGAAGGTAAGGGGACATCTTCCCAGGAAGGCTCTCAGAGCGCTGCTGGACCCTGCAGCTTGCTGTCAGCCTCCCCCCAGTCTGGGAGAAACACAGAGCTTTGGGAGGGAGGAGATGCACCACCAGTCATTGCACAGCTTCAGGTCTCTGTCGGAGAGTCACAGATGAGAGAGGGCTTGGGAACAGAGACCCCCATCTTTTGCTGGGCATTTTCTTCCACTGGTCAACACCCTCTCACCCCCACCTCAGTTGCATATTGAATTGCAGCAGAGAATTTGAACATTTTAATATCTTTAAGATTTCAACTGGTTTATCATTTAGTCTCTGTCTAAAGGGTGGGTATTTCTAAAACCATCTTTGGAAGAAACAGACCTCCTGTGTAAGTGGGGGGAGCTGGATCTGGCCAGTCAGTGATGGGATTCAGTTACAGAGGAGGACGACTCACAAGCATAGAAGGACTCACAAGCAGACTCCTTTCTGTCTGTCTGTCTGTCTTCCAGATCCCAAAGAACCCTCAGGATCTCTCAGCGCTGACAGTGAGTATATAATTCTGACTGATGCTCAGCTCCATTCTCCTGCATCTGCCTTCTTTCTTCCCTTTGATAGGTTCAAGGGCTGAACACGAACCATGCTGAGTCCCTAACTCCTCCCCTTTTGCTCCCTAACTGCAGTCCCGGAGGTGCAGGAGCATGTGCAGCATACAGAGCCCCTGCCGTGTGAGCGGGTGACCGAGGGCAGCCGCTGTCCCTGCCGCAGCAAGGCCAGCACAGCTCGGGTGTGCTGCTGCCCCAGGCGCCACAACCCTCCGGCCGTGCCCTGCCAAGGCATGAGGGGTGCACGTTGTTAGCAGCTGCATGCATCTGCCTTCTGTGAAACAGAGCTGTGGTGGTGGTGGAGCCTCCCTGCTCTGACCTGGCTTTGGAGACCTGCCCAGAGTGACTGCTCATCCCCAGGCTGTTCTGAGAGCAGAACCTGCCCACATCAATGGGTTGTGCCATCCCTGCCAAATCCTGCAACAAGGAAACCCTGAAAGAGGGAGGCTTCCTTGGCTACTCCTGAGGGCTGCAGTCCCTCCTCTAAGGTCACCTGGGATGCTGGGATTTGTACACCTTGGGCTGTTCACAACTTTTGCAGCAAGCTGATCCTGGCAGAGATCTGTATGGAAAATCATTTTTGTTCTCTCATGTCTCTCCTTTCTCACACTTTAAAGGATAACATTGCTGCTGAGAAGCATGAAAGCTGGTACTTTTCCAGTGAGCCAATACAAACACAGATTGGGAAAGAGAAAAAAAGATGTAAAGACTATTCAGGGAAAGGTGGTAGTTTTTGGCAATTCATTAACTGGCAGTTTCTGTGTAGTCAGTATTTTGATCCAGACTAAATCTCTGTTTGCTAGAGATAGGATACCTCTCATCTCCAAAGAGAAATACAGCCAAACACTCCATGACGATGAGGGAAGGGACAAACCCCATCATCTCCCCACAGGCAGAGTCTTAGAATCTTTTTTTCCCCAGAAATAGCAACAATTTGGCAATTTCTATGCTGAAAGATTATTGGTGTACTGCTGCCTGTGTTGCCACTGTGCCAGCACCTGTGCACACCTCTGCTGTTGTGGGACCATCCCATGGAGCGAGGCTGTGCTTCAGTAAGCCTGGCTTGGGCTGGGAGGTGCCTGTACCTGGTGTGTGTGGGATCCTTCACAGCACCATGGTGTTTGCACAACAACAAATCAAGGGAGCAAAAAAGCAACTGTGCAGACATGATGTGTTAGTGGAGAGCAGGGATAAATGCTCTCATGCCTGAAACATGTCTTATGTTCTCCAGGTTCTGAATGCTGGGATCTTTTTACATCTTTGGTGTATTTCTCACTGGGTGATATTTACTGACGCTATTTTATACTCTTCACCTTGCACAGAACTCTGTATATGTGAGCATTGGTATTTCTGTGTGCTGCCTGTTGCTCATGGCTCATTGGAGGTGCTTTAAGGTCTTCTGGTTGGGATCCCACATCATTCTCAGTCAGAGTCCAGACACAAAAAGGAAGCCAAGACTGTAAAATTAAGTAGGCCAGGGAGAGAGGGTGCCATTCTCCTAATTTTATTCTTATTAATATTTTATGCCTTCTGCACATTTGCTGAAGACCAGCTTATCCTGTGTGATAAGGAAATGGAGTTTATGACAGACAAAGCCCTTGCTTCATGGAGATGTGAAGGCTGCAGTGGGGAAGGAGCTTTGAGTGGACAGTGGGGTGGGGAGATGTGGGAATCCAGGGCTTCCCTCTGGCTGCCCTGGAAGGCCTGGGACCCTGGCAGGGGTCAGGAACCCCCCTGTACAGAGCCCCGAGAGACACTGTCTGTGATCTCTGCCCATAGAGAGGAGTTTTCAGTCTTACAAGATGAATTACAAGCTTTGAGTGTTTGATAAGAGTAATAATTAAGTGTGACAGGAGTGCAAAAGTAAAATTTTAGGTTTCTAAATTAGGGGTTCAGAGGGGACAAGATGGAAGAAATTAAGTGTGTCTTGTCCTTTTCCTCCTTCTTCATACCCTCCATGTTTCACTGTAGTGTTGGCATTTTTCTATTAGTTTAAGCTGGGAACACACTGTTCAACGTAGGTGGCAGATATTAGCACGTTATTGTAAATACAGCACACGTAGTTTCTGGTATATAATGTTTGTAACATCCCACTGGGGGCAGAGCCCCGCACGCTGCCCTGCAGGACAGACCTGCGGCAGGGCAGCAGAACATGTTAGAGATAAGCAAGAATAAACAACCTTAAAAATAACACAAACGAATTATGGCTTCTTCTTTGGCAACAGGGCAAAAAGACAGAGACTTTCTACAATCTCAGAATCACCAATACCCACAAATTCCGACAGGGAGAGATGAATGGACCATTAGGATGGTTTGTGGGAGTCATTTGCTTGTGAAGAAAGTAGATTGTGTTTTTCAGAGGTTGGACTGGTCTGTGTGTGCTGTGTCTGTAAATTGCTGTGTTCTCTCTTGGCAGGCATCAAGATTAAAAAAGAAGTTGCCAATGCCTTTGTGAAGAGGAGGAAGAGATCCAGCCCTTACGAATGGTAACAATTCAGGAGCTGGGCTGAGAGCTGGACCTGTGCTGAAGAGGGGGTGGGAAGGCCATAGGGCATTACAAGGCATTATTTTGTTGTAGAGCTATGTTATTACCCTCGGGTGTTGAAGGAAAAAGGCTGTAGGAGACATTTAGTAATGGATTTTTTTTTCCATTCTTTTTTCATTGAAAGCCATTTGAAGGCTCATAGCTGGAGTCTAGTATTCCTCCCAGGGAGAAAGACAGAATCACCTGTGCTAGCCATGGAGACAGGAGGATACAAGTCAGAAGCTGTCCAACCTACAGGGTCATCAGAACCAATTTTTAGGATAATGAGAATCATAGAGCCTCGGTCATTGCCTCTGGTTTCCCACAAAGGAAGCACAGCTTTGTTGCAGGGATAAAGCTAGATCAGATTGGCTGCTCTTTCTGAAGCTGTAGAACATATCTTTACTTGGGCAGAAGTAGACACAAAGATTTGGAGAAATTCCAGCTATTTGAGAAATTTCAGGTAATGCAAGGAAGTTCTTCATACATTTCCTGGAAGAGGTTGTTAAGCTACTGTTTCCAATACAGAAATAAAGTAAAAATTCATGAGGTAGTGGTGGGATTTCTGTAGTGGTGTGTACTGTCTTCAGGAAAGATTAACCAAACATAGAGGAGGAATTGAGAATGACATCTAAAGTGTATAGCTGAGATTAAAAATTTTGGGCCTTCTTAGCCTAGCAAAAAAGAAAAGAAAAAAAACTACATGGGGATAATGCTCCTGTCTACAACAGAAATGAGGATTGTTAGAGACAAGCATTTAAGATAAAGGAAAATAATGGCTAATGGGCAAAAATAAAGGTAAGCAGGAAATAATAAAATAAATATATAATTAAATAAATAACAACAACAACAACAAAATCCCGTGTAGGTGGGGAATGAGATTAAAAAATAATAAAAAAAGCCAAATCCTTACAACTTCTGTGGTATCCTTAGCTGATAAAACCTCAAGAGCAATAGATTTAAATTGGGTTCAATCCCATATTTCCCAGCATTGATCAAGTAGCTTAACCCTGAGTAAGCAGATGTTTAACTCAGCATAACCAGTCCCCTGTTGGGTCTCCCTGGAGGATTGCAAGGAGCTTTGCTTCAGAGGATCACTTCCTTCATGCCAGTGTTAGGTGTATGAACTGTCTCAACTGCATTGGCTGAAACTGCAGAATAGCATCTCTGTCTACTGCAGGTACTTGGAGTATTATAAAAGTCCGATGGAGCAGATGCATGAGCGCTGTGAAAACTACCCCCCCTGTGACTATCTCTCTGACCAAGTGGGATTTGCCTTGGCCTACAACCGCTTCTTTGGGAGATACTGAGGATGGGAAGGCTTGGAACGCTCTTTTGCCTTGGAACACTCCAAACCCCACAGGAGAAAGAAGCTGTGGTTGGGAAGGAGGGAAGGAAAGCATCTGGACTGCACCTTCTGTTGTCTGGAACACCAAGGCAGGGATTATCCCATTTGTTGAGCTTGCATTAACTTTCTTCCTTTCATCAATAAAGTTTCTCTTCAGACATCTTTTGTGGTATTTTGAGCTTCACCAGAAGACTCTGTCTTATTTCCTTCCACCTGAATCCCCAGCACACAATTTGTGGAAAATAGGGATTAGCTTCAAGAAAACCACTGCATTCATTAGCAACAGCACTAGATCTCTTATCCTCTTCTGCAAAATACAGGAGGATTATGGAAGAAAAGGACATGGTGTGTGTAAATATGATGGATCTGATCCTGGGATGCTCACTGTGAAGAAGGAAGAAAACCTGCCTCCTGTTCCAATTAGTGGGAAAGTTCAGTATTTTCATGTAGAATAATCACATTAAATATCCACCACAGTAGGATCATTTGTAAAGACAGAAGTGTGCAAATACTCTTGCATAAATAGCAATCAGCTTCTGGTACACTCTTCTGATTACTCTGTCATAAAATTTGCTGTATAGCAACAATAAATAAATCCCAATAGGTGTGTTTAAGGAGTCCTTTTAGATCAGTCCTTGCATTTGTGTGCTTCTTTTCAGGACTTAAAAAAAAGTCCTCAAATTCTCTTGGTTGTGTTTTTTTGGTTTCGTTTTTTTTTTTTTTTTTTTCCCAACCAGCTTCTAGTGAAAATAAAAACACCCAGCAGAATACACACACACACACACACACACACACACGCACACACACAAAACAAACAAACAAACAAACAAACAAACCCCCAAAACCATCTTCTCCTCTGTTTCTTTTGCATTTTGCTTGAAACTAGAAGTACTTAAACAGCTAAAAATTTAAAAATTAAAAAAAAAAAGAAGAAAAAGGAAGCTATAAACATTATAAAATGTTTATAAAAGGTTTTTTAAAAAACCAAAATTGGTTCAATAATGGTTTGAGATTGGGGCAGTGTTTGGTTTATTCAAGAAAATTGGTAGCTAAATATATATAAATATATAAATAAAATGTATGTGTATTTTTATCTACATATTGTCTTCCCTCTGCACTACTTAATTCTGTCTTCTGGCATTAATATTATACCTTAGCAACTTTGTGCATAACCTTCCTGATTTACTCTGTCAGCTTTCCTTCCCTGAGAGGTGGATAGCAGATCACACCTCCAAGGACAGGGACTGCAGATGCTCAGGAAATTAGCAGAAACCAAATCTCTCTGGTTACATGTGGTGCAACAATCCTCAGCTGCTCATTGCAATAAATACTGCTTATATAAACTGGGTTGGTGTGCTGCTTCTTTCTGTTCCTCTGCACAACCTTTACCTGTGGCAAAAGAGATGCCTGGAAGACACAGCCTGCTTTTGTGAACCCTGAGGAGCAGGAACCCAGGGCATGAGACTTCCTTCTCCTCTCCCATGCCCCAGAGTGAATCAGAAATTATGACACTGCAATTTAGGTCATTGGTTCAGCACTCTGTGACACGGAGGGAGAGAAGGACCAGGCTTTGCCTGACTCACCCAGATCAGCATTTCTCTGAAAAGCCTTGTCCTGCAGTAAGGACACATGAGAAGTCTGCAGAGATGGCTGCCAGTGTGAGCCTTGCTTGGCAAGCTGCTATGGCTTGCACTGGTGATGCTGATCTTGGCCAAGGAGAAGACACTTAATAAATATCTCTGCATGTCTTCGTCAAATGCCTGTGACTGGTTCCTCTATTGTCATAAACTAATGGGGCTTCCCTGCTCACAGTAAAATTCTCCTCTGAATGCCATCTAGTAATAATTTACAGAGTGTTTTATTGAAAACAGTGAAATTTTCGCTTGGGAAAATACTAGAGAGATTAGCAGAATCCTAATATCCAGTGTACTAATAAAATAGGGGTGTTTTTGTTGTTGTATGGTTTTGTTAGCACAAAAAAAAATTCCTGTCTCTATTTGCATCTTTCGGTCACTTTTATATTTTTTCTCTCCCTTTCAGTACATATTTTTTTCAGGCAAAAAAAGTTACACCCGGTGGCCTCCATTATGTCATCTGCTCTGTGTCATCAGATCTCTTCACGGGCTGAAGTCATTATGACCTTTGGGGATCTGAGCACTTCGATCACGTTACAAATTTACTGCTGAAATGGAGGAATTCGATTGTTGCTTGGTTAATGCAGAGCTAAGCACCGCCACAAATCCTCTGCTGCCATCTTTCGGCCTTTGTATTTGTTGTATTTAATAACTTGTGTTGTTTCTGAAGTGTTTGAAAATGCAAATTCCTTCCCTCCTGATTCCCTTTATACTAAAGATTCACTTACAGGTCAGAGGGGAAAACCAGGCACATAATTTACAAATGGATTATATACAGCTGAATTGACATTTTAGTGGGGGTGTTTATCATGACTGCCAAGTTACCAAAGAAGCCTTAGTCTTGCTTTAGGTCTGTTTTATCTCTACACAAACAGAGGTGGAGTTGCCTCTGAATAAATTCGTGAGCCCTCCTGTGGACTCACTTTTAGCAGTCAAACAACCACTTTCTGAAATACAGCCCAAGATAACAGAGACATTCCAGGATGGAGAACTAGGTAGTCTGAATCCATCGCTTCATGGCACTTCATGGCATCATCTCATGTTGCCAGGGACTGCAGATACTGTCAGCAGCAGCAACTGCTTTGAAAGGAGCCCAGTATGAGACCTTTATGTCACCTCCCACCCTATCTCAGCAGTATTTGGCAGATGATCTGTTCACAGAATCAAGTAGCTTCTCAAACCTCCCTTATCTCAGGGAATCATTCCATGTCTAGAGGTGCCTCCTCACCCAGCCTATCATTATCAGGCCATGGAAAATGGGCTTAACTTTTCTGTAGTCAGAACCAAAGCCTCGACAGTTCTTGGCTCTTTTTCCATACAGAAGAGTTATCAAAGGTTATGGGGCTCTGCCAGTATTTGGAAGGGTGTCTAGAAAGCAGCTGCTAGAGAAAGGTTTGTCTCAGCACAGAATCTGCATTTACACACTCACTTTGCCTGTGCCAGTGTAAACAGTCCAGCGAAGTGCCACTCTGCAGTGCTGAAAGAGTAGGATTGGCAGCACATGAGCAGAAGCAGGGGGTGATAAGGAGGAGAAGGAGAGTTAGGTTATCGCTGCTTCCAGATGGGATCCCAGTCTACCCTGCATTTCTGTGTTGGCTTTATCAGAATCAACTTCTTTAAAAGGGCTTTTAAACTCTTAACCAGGGAGCCGTCACCCTGACACACCACTCCTCAGCAGAAGTGCCTTAGACTTCTCCAAGCCACGGTTTTCTTCCTTTTTGCAAGAACAACACCAAATACCTTGGAATCAAAGGAACTGTCAAGGTGATGGACACTCATGCCAGCTGAAGTTGGTGCAACCAGACACTTCCTTATGGATTTTGGGCACATTTCTACCACTAAATTGTCTGCTTGGATTGATTAATGACTTCTGAATTGCAGTGAGAATTAGACGAATTATCTCTGGTTGAAGAACAGCCACCAAAACCTGAGTGCAAATTACAAACTGCAGAATTTTCCAGTTCAAGGAAAAACAGGAAGAAACAGGTGCAAATTACCTTTCCTTAAAAAAAATGTTCTTTACAGTGTCTTGGGTGGACTCTGGGAAGCTGGTGACACTAGGCAGCCTCCTGTTGCTGATCTTCTCACAAATACTGGTAAAAGAGGTAAATATTGCTCTTTATTTGAAATAGTGAAATTGCTTATAACACAGAATTCTTTTTCCATTTGAAACATGTTCTTTAAGGAGTTTTGGGTTAAATTTTAACTTTTCTGCTTTCAGTTCCTCTGCTCCATTTCTTACCTGTCTTAAATTTTTTTAACTACTTGGTTGGAATTTTCCTCCGGTTTGCAGCCAGATGATTTCATAGAGTGTGAGATCTCATGGAATCTTTCCTCTCCTTTTGCAGCCTGTCTAAATTGACTAATGTTCCTGGAGATTCAATGTAGTACATCCATATCAAATAAGAAATCTGTCATCCTGACAAGTATTTGCTTGTGGTGGTGTATACACAATAACCTGAGGTTGCTCAGGAGGGTTTTGCTGAAGATTTGCTACCTACCTTGCTTGCTCTGCCAATAATGACAAAGAGGCAAGGAAAGGGTAGAGAAACACTTGGCTTGCATCCGCAAAGGTACACAAGAAATTTGCACTTCTGATGCTAATCTTCATTTGCTTTTATGTTGCAGGCTGTGTCCCCCACCCTGATGGATATGGCTCCGCATTCCTTTGATGACCAGTATCTGGGGTGCAGAGAGGAGATGATGGAAGAACTGGAGCGAGGAGACTACTTTCAAAAGGAAATAGCTGCTAACAAGGACTACTTGTGTCTCTGGAAGAAGGCTCAGAAGGCTTTGCTAAAGAGCCCTGTAGGTCTGCTGAGGGAAATGCGTGACAGCCATGCCACAGTCCTAATGGCTTACACCATGAACTCCTCCCTGCACTCGCAGCTGAACTGGGCTACATCTACAGCAGGAATCTCTCCAGAGCACTACAGACACAACTTCAGCTTTAAATATTTTCACTTCTACCTAGTAACTGCTATCCAGATATTGAAGGAATGGCAAATCAGCATGGGGGAACATAAGTGTTACCAGGTGCACAGGGGTGTAAAGGACTTATATATCGAGGCCAAGGTAGGCAGCAGGGTGCGATTTGGCCGTTTCACTTCTACCTCCCACCTCAGGAATGAAGCCCAGAAGTTTGGGAATGAGACTTTGTTCACAGTGACTACTTGCCTGGGAGCAGCTATGCACGGCTTTTCTTACCACACATTTGAGAAGGAAGTCCTCATTCCCCCTTATGAGATATTTCTTGTCAAAAGCTTCCTTCAAACCCAGCAGGGTAACCGGCTGCATCTGCATTCTGTGGGGAACTACAGCAAGTACCAGTGCCAGCTGGTGGAAGGTATTGTACACAGACTCTCATGCAAGGGGGCACAGGAGAGGGTGGTCTCCACTGCCCCAGGCAGCCCCCACCAGCTGCACTTACACGGGGCCACACTCAAGGCCAAACCTGTACCTCACCTCTTGTGTTTGCCTATGAGATCCACTAGACCCAGCTTTTACCTGTTTGTTGTGAAAACTGGGACAACCCCACAGCTCACTAAAGATGAATTGACAGCAGGTCTCAAGGCTCTTTGCAGCCCCCATTTATTCCAAGTGTCGCGTCAAGGATGTTGTAGGACTCATGCCTTTGGGTCCCCCACATTGTTATTGCAAGAGTGGGTGAGATTTGCTTGAACCAAATGACACCATTTGCTGGTGTCTTGCAATGCTGCTACACTTCAAGCCTCAGGACTCTTCTAGGCTTTAGTCCACTACTACTCTGTCAAGCTACTACTTCTAGACTTACCTCTGGCAATCTGAGAAACAAAGCTACTGTCACTTTAGCAGTGACCTCTCTCCTGAGGCAGCAGGGAGAAAAGGTATCCTCTGACAAAGAACACACTGAGTTTCCTGGTTATAGAGAGAAGTCTGTGGCTGAATGTCTCATAAGGCCTGTTTCACATCCCTGCCTTTCTGTGAGTCTACCACCAGTCCAGGACTCTTCCTTTTGTCAGCTTTTGTCAGGACTCTTGCTTTTGTCTTGTCTTGTTTTTGTCCAGCAGTGTGTCAATGCAATCTTTGAGCTCAAAACAATCATTTAGGAATGAGGGTTTGTGCCTCCAAAGCCAAAATAATAGATGGAGTTGAGAAAATAGCCTTTGTGGGCAATGGTTTTGATAGCAAAAGCAAAAAGCAAAAAGCTTTCCTAAAGTGAATAGAGGTCTAAACAACTGCTTTCTTTACTTTCTTTCAGCTTCAAGAAGCAAGAACAGTGGTTATACTGCACTCACCTCTGCTGTTCTCCCTAGTGTGCTTGGAGTTTCCCTGTGCTTGACCCGCAATCTCTGATTCTCTGGCTGCATCCAGATATGTGCCCTTAAATAGCAGGCAAGAAGCCTCTGGAGTTCCTGCTGCTACAGAAGGTTCAATCTTCCCTTTGCTTTTGGCTGCAACTCTGCAGTCAAAACTGAACATTCAGCTTGGTTTATCAAAACAGACATTCCCTGGAGTCACTCAGGTAAGACGAAGGCTATCCATGGACTTTCTGAAGACTAAATCAGGGATAACCTTCACTGAAAACAGCTTTGTCCTGACGCATTCAGGAAAGACACACAGGGACTTTGAACTCCTTACAGATCTCTTAATACCTTTATTTTTAGTGAGAAAGAGGCAGACGTGGCACCATGGCAGTAAAGTCAAGCGGGTAACTGGGCAGCTGTGCATGTCTCCTTTGAGTGCAGGGAAAGGTGGTGCCAAGATGTGCATCAAGGAGTCGGATTACTGTGTTGGTTGAAGACACAGAGAAGTACATTAAGTTGTGTAGATTCTGGCCAGCCCTGAACAGCCTTTCTTTGGCACTCTTATAAACAAGATGGACTAACATTTCTGGAGTGGTGTCTGACTCTGGAAAGAAAATAGAGAAAATCCAGAAGGCATTATTACAGGGGAATCATGGAGGAATAAAGGTGGATATATTTTTAGCTAGATTGTTACATTTCTGAAATCAATTATCCAAACTGCTAACCCACCTGAACCATTCTTCCCCAAGACATTAGTTGGAAGAAAACATAGAAAAAGTTCTTGACAGCCTTTTCTGGGATCTTACCAAGCAGCCAGGAAAATATGGTGTAAGCAGCTGCAAGTGTTGTTTCTCTGTTGGCTGCAGGAAGTATGACTTTGACCTGTAATCTTCAAAGTAAAGGAAGTGCTGTAAATTAATTATTCTTGGTGGTTTTTGGTAAATTTGTATAAGTCCTAGAAAACAACTACTTTACATCATCCTCAGAATTACAATCCTTCAGTTTGTACATACTGGTGGGTCTACACAAAACTGAACTCTCATTTTTGGGTGGGGGGAATAGACACAGCAAAGTCAAAAGCATGACATCAGGACAAAAAAATTGAAGACTGAGTAATGCCACGTTTTGTCTGGCTACAGTTCCCCTAAAAGTGATCTATATTAGTCAGTTAATACACTAACTAGATGGTGCAAGCATCCTTTGGTAGGTGGAAGCACAAGACATTCTCCTTGCTTGGCTGCCCATCATGATATCATTTTGACTGCTAGGTGCAAGTCCTTCTGCTTGCACCTACAAGTTCTCACAAGGCCAACGAGAGATACAGTCCTGGGATAGTGTGCAGCTCAGAGACTGCTCCTGATGTTGCCTTTGCTTGTGCCAGAGCCCTGTAAAGCTGGACTGATTGCAGCCGACATTTCATCAGCTATTGCTGTGGTTAGAAGTGTAGTCAGAAGTGTTCAAGCAATTGCAACTTCCTGTCCCACTGTATAGTTTTAAAGACTTTTTATCAGAACTCAGTTCAACCATCTGCCTTTTCCTCCATTTATGTCCCATGGTAAAAGGGGTCTGAAATTGCATGAAATGGCAAAACTGATTTTAGCTTTCATTGCTGTTCAGAGATGACTCTGGGCCTCCACACCACTTTTACTCTCATGGCATCAGAGACCTGGAAAATTGCAGTAAGGAAGGATAACAGACACGCTAGATCAAGCTTTTTCCTCTAACTTAATAGGCCTGCAATAATAGCTACTAATCTTCCCAAAAGATCCAGAGTAAAGCAGGAACAAAAGTGCCTTCATATTGTTCAAATTATTTTCAGTCTTGTTCCAAATTATGAAGGCTCTAGAAGAAAAGAATTTGCATCCACTGCAAACACAGAATAGATAAAATCAGTTTCCAGAATGTGACACACAGGCAGTTGCCAGCCTCATCAAGAAAATTCAGTTCAATATTGTACAAAGTATTTCAAAATATTTCAGACTACATGGCATTCTCAGTGGAGAACACTCAGCAGTCACAACTAATTGACATTTCTAGAACTATAGAGTTAAATCATTTAGTGTTCTCTTTCAGCTTACGTTCTCGTGCCCACAGCTCCGATGAGAGTTTGGCACTCTGACTGTATTCACTGGGGTTGAATACAGCAGCTCAGCTTTCAGGTGAAAACATGTTAGCAATTGCAGAGGGCTCATTTTATGCTTCACCTTAGATTTTCATCTGAGAACTCGGCCATCCTCTATAGTGGAAGCAGTATTCCTGGTGGGACCCTTGTGGGCTGCAGGCCATCTGTCTAAGGATAAGAGCGTGAAAGATGACTAGCTTGGTTGAAGGCATATGTACAAGCTTGTCTTACTGGAACAGACAAAGCCTGTTTCCATTACCTGTGGTATCTATTTTTCTGTTTATGTGGGACCATTCAATTTTTCTTCTGTAATTTGCAGGTGTACAAAAGCAGTCATTGCAAAAATTCATTATTTCTAGGCATAGGTGCAAGCATTAATGTTTATATTTATAAACAATAGAAAGCACTAAAAAACATAATCTTGTATCTATTTGAATTAGAAGAGCTGTCCTACACTTTTTATGTTCTGAGGACAGCAAGTAACACCATCCCCTTTCAGCCATAGTTGTAGGCATCTCTGCTGCAGGCAGGAGGGAATTGTGCTGTACCCATTCTCTCCAGGAACAGAAGGCCTTTGGAGGATCTAGAAATTGGGAACTAGTATCAAGTGAACAAAATTCTCTTAAAATCGGAAGGAAGGGGAGAGGAGGAAGAAAATGAGATGAATCTGGGTAAACATCACACAATAGAATTAATGACAGGCAGGCAGACACAGGATGCAGCTGAAGCCCAGCCTCCAGATCTCTAACTCATCACATGCTGCTGGAAAACACCAGGCGAGCAGAGGGGAAAGAGGCTGATGTTACTATCCCATACACATTTCAACAGGAGCATTCAGACCAAATCAGGTAGGCAGTGTAAATGTTTAATTAGAAAAGTTTCTGTGGTAAATTTCCCTGGAGCTGGAGAAATAGAAATACAGAAATATATGTGGCCTGCCTAATTCTAAAAATAAAACACAAAAGCTAATGAAAATGCTGATGTGAAGAGTAAGAAGTAATTTTAGCATTAGGAGATATAAAATCAAGAGCAGATGTAAGAAGCTGAAATAATAATATGTAATTAACAGATTCTAGAAATCTTCTCCACACCTGTCTAGTATGTAAAATGTTTGTTGAAGTGCTATTCCTTCTAAAATAATTTGTCTTCTCACTTTCTACCAATAAGGGAAAACAAATCACCTTACAACAAAACACCACAGGAGTGGAAAGTTTTAAGTATCATATTGGGTCAGAAAGCAAGCCAGCAACATCCCTGAGGCAGGATTGATATGAAATCATAGTCTGCATTATCATGCCTTTATGTTTCCAGAAACCACAAACCTTCACTGAATATGTATATTGCTCCCTACAGCTTGTATAAGGAGATGTGTTAAACAGTTTATTCTCTTGGCAGAGATACAAGGTAGGTGGCTAAAAGAAATATACAGAACTATGCAAAATATTGGGGGAAAAACCCTCTTTTCAGACTGGCTTCTGTCTTTCAACACTGTGATTAAAAGTTGCCAGGGGATTGTGGAAATCATTCTGGTTTTCTACAGTGACCTTGTGGGGGAGGGTGTGTTTAGTAAAATACAGCTGGGTCAGTGTCAGATGATTTGCAGCTAACAGATAGTGCAAGAACTACAAAGGGCCAAAATGGCACAAAGGTATCTTTTTAAGAAGAAAGATCTGGGTAGTCCCCTACACAAAACTATTTGTAGCTCTAACTGTGATATGTAGGCACCAGCAGCAAGAAGAGGTTTATCTTAGATAAATGCAAAGCACTGCACAAATGTGGCCCAGATTTGCAATAAGAGGGTTGAGACCATGAAAAGTACCAACAAAGAAACAAGTCATCCTACTCATTCATAGTTTGCTCGTGTAGCAAAGATATTTGCATTTAAGCTGAAATCATGCTGAAGCATTTTAACTTTACAGCTGGTGACAGGTTAAAGGGAAGTGACAGTGTTGATTACAGAATCTTAGTGATGAGGAATTACTCCATGATCACTGTTAACTCAGTCTCTTTGGACTCTCTGTACTGGCATGCAGTTTATGAAGAAGTAAATATCAGGGAAGAAAATACAATGAGAGATGTATGTAAGGTGATATAGGTTATTATAGACAATTTTATTATTCATTATGAATTCAGAGGGTAAACTTCTTAGTACAAGCACAGAATGCTTATATAGTATAATTTTCTCTTGAATGTTAGAAGAAAAAGGCTATACTGGCATAAAATACTCTTATTGTGACAAAAACCATATCCACCAATCATCATGGTTGCTGAAAAATTGGATTCCACTAAATGGAAAAAATAGGCTGATACAAAAGAGTGACTCGAACAGCTCTTTAATCTTTAAGCCACATCTTTAATTTTGATGATTAGATGAGATTGTTCCATTTTTTAGTGAACTGGTTCAGGTTCTACCATCTTCAGTTTCCAAGGTTTAGTTTCAATTTCAATATTCAGTTGCCAATGGCCCACATCCATTTTACCAACCTGCTCATTACATATTTGTTAGTTATTTTTGTTGCTCTGAGCATGCCCAATGTCTTACAAGGTCCTTTTCCAATCACTTGGCAAAGATCCAGAACAAGACTTAAGATTTCTACATTTACAAGCTAGGCCATGGGATTTGACCTGCTCAGTATGAAAAGATCCAGTGGGGCAGACACAAAGCAGATTTCACTGCTCTTTAAGGGCTATGGTTATCAGTGTTAAACAGACTAAGAATTTTATTTTCTCTCTTGAAATAGCCTATTTCTGAAGAATGGCATTGAGTGACCTCCTTTACCCAGATAATCCCAAGAGAAAGCAAGAACTGATCCATCTGCATCAGGAATTGCTTGACTGTATGTCTACAAATTTCCATGCAACAAACGAGCTGGTTGGAGTGCTGAATGAACACCTGGGCTGCACTATTACCCCCATTGAGATGCGAGAGAGCAGTACAGTCAAGGAAAACTGTGAGATTATCATTCAAGTGATGAATGAGATTCAGCATCAGGTGCAGAAGATTGATAGTGACATGAAGGACAAGCTTGAGCCAGTGCTGTACCAGAAGCTATATGATATCAAAGAGCCTGAGCTGGAGAAAATTGCAATAGCCCAGAGAGTTTTTTCCATTATTTTTGGAGAAGCAACTTCAACAGCTGCAATGGTAGCTATCAAACTTCTTGGCTCCAATCATTTAACTCTCACTGTGAGCAAGCTCATCGGTCTCCTTGCACAGATTGGGGCATCTGTTCTTGGGGGAGTTAGTATTACCATTATTGGGCTTGGCCTTGAGATGATTCTCCATGCCATTCTGGGAGCTGTGGAGAGGAGTCAGCTTCTGACAGCTGTGAGAAGCTACGAGAAGCACCTGGCTGAGTTTAAAACAGCCTCAGAAAAGTACCAGCGTGCCATACATGAAGTGACTTCTTTGGTGAGACAGCAAGTTCAGTAAATGAAGGTGGAGTTCTGTCTTCTGCTGTCACAGCAGCTGCAGCAGCTTATGCCTGCAGAAACCTTTTTGATTCATTAGGACAAATGAACTACTGATGGCTTTTTATTTTCTTATTTGTGGCAGCAGGACAAGAAAAGTGGTAGTTCAGGAAACTGGCATTGAAATATATTAGTAGAGAACTGATTTACAGATGTTTTGTGGGGGCAATGTTTAAAATGCTTTGCACTTTTCCATAAGCTTATTTTCTGGGAATCATCTCTAGTACGAACTGTAATTCATACTACAGACAAGAATACAAACTGCTGGACTGGTAGTGGTGAGGTGTGTTTCTGTGTCAAAGATGACAACAGAAAGGGAGAAAACAAATTTCAACAAGGCAATTCATGCCAGCATCTGGAGGCTTTTCGAAGACATCTGTGGTTGCTAAAGTCTTAGTGTGGTTTAGTGCTAAATCTGATAAACTGAATTCAATTACAAGGACTAGCTGAAGCATATTTAACTGCTATTTCCTACCCTCCTAAGGAGCCAGCCAGAGATGATCTTTAAATAAACTATAATCCCAGTAGATTGGCAGGTAAGAGAAGCCTGGGCCTACATGCAAACAGACACAACCTTGCTCCACAACTGAGAGAAACCAGATGCTGGGCTCCGGGTGTGAACAGCCTCTTGTGCTTGTAATGCTCTGCTCCTGCCAACCAATGTAAAAATTTCTGTGCAAAGTTGCTCTTCTGTTGATTGAAGTGAGATTATACACGTCTGTAAGTGCCTGTAGGATTGCAGCCCTATTAAACTAAAATTATTTTCAAGTGCTTTACCTGATCCCACCAATCTGGGACTGCCAAGAATGTGCTCAAATTCTGCATTTCACAATATGCTACCAACTGTCCTTATTTTCCAGATTTTTGCTCTGATATGCAGTGGATTGTTTTTTCTTGATCTTAGAAAAAAAGCTAATTTAAGAATTAATAAAAATGTGCATGAGTATTGGAAGACTTCTCTTCTCTGTACTTTTTTTTTTTGTCTGAAAATCAATCTTAAACTGAATAATAAAGAAATACTGAAAGCTTCATTATACATACAATTAATATTTTTTTAAAATCCACAATAGACCAATCTAATAGGGTTACTTATTTAGTACCCACTTCTCCCATACTAAAACCATGTCCAAATTCATGCCTGTTTCTAATATTCAATATTAGCAATCTCAATTTATTAATAACTAGATGGTGCCTATGAAATAAAAAAATGGGTGAGATTCACAACCCTTCCACTCTGGGGTTTGGGGGGGTTTGTTTGTTTGTTTTGTTGGGTTTTAATTCTCCTCCATGCCTGTTCTCACTTCAATATTTTCTGACTCCTCTTCCCTTTTATGCACAAAAGCCACTAAATGGCAATGCAACTGCTGGTACCCAACAGCTCTGCCAAGTCATCAGGGAGAAAGCCCAGGGTTCAGAAGCATAGATGGGTGCCAGGGCCCAGAGAAACTGGGACCAGCTGCAGACTGGGCTACGTGAGTCAGGAAAGGCACTTCAGTGGTGGCAAAAAGCACTGCCTTGCCTACACAAGGTATGGTGGTGGATGACATGGTGACCTGAGGCATCACTTCTCCAAAATGTAACATCTTGTCTCCTGACACAAATGGCACTCAGTTAAGAGGTACTTCTGTAGAGACAAGAGACTGTCAGTCAGTAGAACAGCAATATCTCTGTGTTGGAGAGGTAGGAGTTCCTGGCTCCTGATTTCTATGTGCAAGTGTGCACTCCAAACTAGGAATTAAAATCAGCTCTTTGAAAGATTGCCAATCACTGCTGTATAAAAATAGCGGAGCCAAATAAAAACAAATCTGTCATATTTTTTCAAGCAATTTGCCTACACGTTCTTGAGTGCAAATGCTAAGCAGTGTCAGGGGAAGTGAGGTATGCAATGAGGAACATAGAGGTAAAAAACTGCTACTCACCTCTAAGTATATCCTTGTTCCTGGTGGACTTAAAGGAAAGCGGATTTCCTCACAACAGATTTAACTACTGCTCTCTCTAATGCTCTGGCCAGTCTTATGTTTGGTGCTCCAAAGATGTCATAACCAGCCTGTTGATATTTCCCCTCCAGGCTCCTTCAAGCTGCCTCTCAGTGTGACAGAAGTACCAAGTGAAAATGTGAGAGGACTGTTGTCCTCCAAATCAGCAGACACTGCTGTGAGAAAGCAGTAAGGGCTGAGGCAACACCGCTATCTCCACAGAGCCCAGGATTGCCAGGACAGAAAACCCCAAGCCTTGTGAGGTGCAGCTAACCTTGGAAGACTCAGCCATCCCCCTCTATAGTGACATGGCACCTGACAGGGATGTGTGTGGCCACAACATTCCATCACGTCCTCTTGAGCATTCTGCTTTTGCTCAAGCTGTTTTTCCGGACAAGGGATTAAAGATTAAAACTGTCATATATGTGTTCCAAATAAGAACAGCCTCAAAAAAAAACCTGCAAACCAGCCCAAACCAGTGTAAGCTGCTTCCAAACCTATGTGGAACAACAGTACGGTTGCAACCAAAATCTGCCTGGCTGAATGTTCTTTCTGGTGACAACAATAATACAAAAAGAACATGTCAAAGAGGCACAAGGTGGAGATGACCATGCTGTGCATGGATGACCATGTGGTTAGCAAGACTCCGTAGGCACTAAGAGCTCCTGAAACCTTGGCTCTGAGGATGCTCCTTGACTTTGACTTTGTGCAGTTTGTGACTAAATGCTGGCTTTAATGTGATGTGTAGCTTATAGTCTTTTACCCATTGTGCAATGATCCTTACAAATTAGTCAACAGAGTCTCCATTACTTGAAAAACTATAACAACATTGTGTTGCATGGTATGTGCACTAGGAGCAGGGAGTCTAGAAATCCTGCCCAGGGATCTGACCACCTCTGCTCTCAGACACCACCTGTGCAGAGAAAAAATTCCTTCCTGCATCTCCTCCCCAACATGCTAGTTTTTTTAAGCCTGCACCCATAATTTATTGCTTTCACATTGATGTTTTTTGCATCTTCATCCAGGTTCTTAATGTGTTGTGGACTTTTACTGGAAATTGTGCTTTGGACAATGACACAAAACAGCTCCCACCAGGTGTTGACCAGCCTCGCTAGTTCACCACAGTGGGGGCTGTAGGAAGAGGCAAACAACGAGTAGAGTCTCTGGTGCCCGACAGCACCAAATGACCTTCTGTTCTCCTTGTACAGAGGGATCCCAGCCCCGCTGACAGGGGAGCAGCGCTGCGGCGAGGCCAAGCCTACAACAAACCACGGGACAAGCCTCAGGCTGAGGGCAGCCCCTGCTCCCGCAGCGTTGTGCACTTATTCCCCATGGACAGAGGCTTCCCACGCGTGCCTCGGCCCTGCCTTCTTTCAGGGCACTTTGAGGGATCTCTCCTGGAGGCCGCGGGGAGCAGAGGCCGCTCTGGCCGCGTTCGCAGCCCTATTTCCAGCGCACGCCTCCCACACCGCGTGCGCCCACCCGCTCCCAGAGCCCGCCGGGGCCGGCTGGGCGATGGTCCCTATCTCGATCGCTATCGCTGTCTCCGTCCGTATCCCTACCCCTGTCCCTGTCCCGGCCCATTCCCACTCCCGCTCCGCCTTCCCGCCCCTCTCCAGGCCCAACCATAGAGTTGGAGCCTCCGCGGGGAGCGAGGGGCGGCGGAACCATCGAGCTGCGGCCGCCGCTTCCGGCGCGCGGCTCCGCGCCGCCACTCGGTGCCGCTGCAAGATGGCGGCGGGGCCGCGGCGGCGGGCGCGGGGCTGAGCGAGGCCGCGGCAGCCGCGGCAGCCGGAGCCGGGCCCGGCCGGGCCCAGCGGTGAGAGGGGCTCGGCGGTGCTGGGTGCGAGGAGAAGGGAGGCGAGGAGTTGGCGCTAACTCGTTTTCTTCCTCCTACCATCGGGCGGGAGTAGGAGGGGGGGTTTCTGCCCCGTTCCTCTGTGGCCAGAAGAATAATTAATTTAGTGCTTGAGTATATATTTTTTTTTCACCTTCGGCCTTTAACTTGTTACGTTGAAACTCTTTAGTCTGGGTCCTTTGAAGATGTGAAATGGAGGTTTCGGAAGTTTGTTCTCTTTACCTTTAGCCTTTAAATATTAGAAAGCTGGGAAATACGGGGTGTAAATGTAACTCCTACCTGTGTTTGGTGAGCTTCCCACCTAAGGAAGCGATAGTGGCTTGCAAAAGAAAAAACCAAACCCAACCCAGTCTTTTTGCAGGGAGGTAGGTTTGGAGGGGGAGGGAGAGAAGAAACATCCCTGGCTGTAGTTTGGACACTTATGTAGTCATCTGTAAGCTGTAGAAATATCTAAAGACTGGAAATAATTTTTTGCAGAATAATCCTACACTTGCTGATACAGTGGATGCTGGGGAGAGATATCAGGGGCAGTTAGGAGTCTGAGGAAGGAAGGAGATCTATGGGGAAACATTTGAAACAGAGAAAGGTGAAAACTGGAGAGTGCTTACAAGAATGAATGAGAAGCTAAACTCTGATACGCTCTTAGAAAAATAGAATGTTTGTTTCTCCCTGGCCTGCACCCTTCCATAGTCTAAACACAATGCTTATTGGTTTGAATTGTAATGTGAATAATGACAAACTCATCAATTAGTTTAAAATTACAACCTACTAAAGTAGTAGTAAGTAGGTACTTAGTTAAATAGTAGTACTTATTGCAGTAGGGCAGTTTTGATATGGGTGCTGAGCTCATAGTCATGTTTGAGGACCTGAAAGGTATTTGGGCTCTTTACTCTTACTAGTGGGAGTAACTTGCTGATAGAAAGAAGGCAAACAAGCATCCTCAAGCTGCCAGTGTGTAAGACCTGAAACCCTGTCATCTTTTCCAGGTCCCTCTCTCTTTTTTAAGTTTCATTTTTTGAGGCAGAAGAAAAAAAGATCAAAATGGGGCGGAGATCTACATCATCCACCAAGAGTGGGAAGTTTATGAATCCCACGGATCAGGCCCGTAAGTATACATAAAAGCTAAGCAGGTGGGAATGGGGAATGCCTAGAGGAGCAGATAAAAAGCTTTCTCTGAGGAGAGAATCCTCACTTGTGGACCAGAACTGAGTTTCTCTAACTTGAAAAATATTATCTCAGTTTTATCTGTGAAGGCTGCTTGCTTTCATGTTCTTGCTTCTCTTAAGTATTTACCTCTTGGTTTTCCACTGGTTATCAGTGTTGGAAGGCCTTTGTACTTGGCTGTTGGATAAACTGCAGGCTGTTTCCTGGGACAGAGTTAATTTGTCCCAGGCAGGAATTTGAGTAACATGTCAAATTTTGCAGGTGCTCTGGTTAGATGGGGGAGTTGTCTTACTGGTTTTTTTTCTACTTTTGGTAACATGCCAGGTGTTATCAATGAATAAAGAAAATCTGGACTCCCACAATGGATATGCTTTATTTCAGAGGCATTCTCAAAGCCTATGTATTTTTTAAGTGTATTGTCTAATGACTCTGTTTCAGCTTCTGTGCAGCAATCTTTTCATGATTGCAACTATCACTATGACTTCAGTTGCCTATTGTTCTTTTTGGTATGGAAAAAGCCTTGCTTCTGGAGACATGAAGACTGCAGTATCTCTTTTTTTTTCTGTATAAAAGATGAGAAATAGAAATCTATTTCATGCTATATTTCTTTTTCACTGGGAAGCTGAACTGCAGTAAGTCTTTGTAAAATGAGTGAGCTGTTGAGAAGCAGCCCTAGTCTTGATGAAGGAAGGTTCTTCATTAATTTGATTTTGTCTTTCAAGTTGTTATTTTCTTTTTCTTTTCTCCTCTAGGGAAGGAAGCTCGGAAAAGGGAACTAAAGAAGGTAAATAAAGAGATTAGGAAACATGTAGTTGGCTTTTCCTATACTACGTATTGTCTTTATGATTGTAAAGGGCCATGAATAGACTTGTGGATATTTTGGTTGATATCCTAAGACTGACTTTGGAAATACTATCCAAACATGTAGTTCAAAAAAAATAGAAGTCTTGTTTGGAATAAACATATTCCCAGCTGTTCTTTAACTTGTAATTATTTTTGAAACATTGCTGGAAGTACTTAATAATTAAAAAACCCCAAGACAAGAAAGCAAAGAAGCAAGCAACATACCAAATAAAAAAAAATCTGAAGAAATAAAGCATCCAAGAGTCACACACTTCTTAGTGTGTTCTAATGTATTTTGTCAGTTGGTTATTGTGTTGATTGCATGTGTCTTAGTTGGAGTGAAGGAATGATAGCAGCATTTGCAATTACCAAGATAGTGGCATTAAAATTACCAGAAGTTTTAACTACATTTGCTGCTGATTTGTGCCATAGTGAACATTTTCAGGGCATTCCGAGGTGTGATTTTTTTTTCCTAAGACTGGAAATACTGAGAAAGTGGTAACAGATGTTTTGTGTCTTTCTACTGTGAAACTTTTCTATCTGCTTGATCTCTGGTCTTAGAACAAAAAGCAACGAATGATGGTCCGAGCAGCTGTACTGAAGATGAAAGATCCAAAGCAGATTATCCGGGACATGGAAAAGTTGGATGAGATGGGTGAGTGAGAGGTACCAGGTGTTGGACTTAAGCAGTTGTTTATGTAGATGCACAGTGTAGTTTTAACTGCTAATGGGGGAGACTGAAATAGAGCAATCTTTTTGCCTTTCCTGTTAGAAGTGGGGATTCTGTGAATATCTGGGGATTGATTATGATTTGAGGTGTTGTGGTGCTATCAAAGAGTATTTTTTTCCAAGAAGATGAATGATCAGAAAAACGAGTAGTGTGTGTGAGTGCTGCTAATGTAGAATTCAAGGAGGGGATTGTCATAAGGCTGACGACATCCTGAAAACAGGGATTGGAACTTGTTTTGAAATAGTTTAATTTATCACAGTTGTGCAGTAGAGTAATTTGCAAATTTTTTTGTCTTTTTTTTGCTGTCTTGGATCAGAGTTTAACCCAGTGCAGCAGCCACAACTTAATGAAAAAGTGCTGAAGGATAAACGCAAAAAGCTCCGCGAGACTTTTGAACGCATCTTGCGGCTCTACGAGAAGGAAAATCCCGACATCTACAAAGAACTGCGCAAGCTGGAAGTGGAGTATGAGCAGAAGAGAGCACAGCTCAGCCAGTATTTTGATGCTGTCAAGGTAATGGTTACTGTATTTCAGTCTTGTAACTGTGGTAGTGTATTGTGTTTGCTCATTAGGTGTGACTGTTACAGAGGAAGGGAGATTTATATGAGTTCAGCTTCATGTGGCTCATATGAAATATTAGTTTGCATAGTACCTCAAATTAGAGCATTTCAGTGAGGACAGTGTGGTGGTTGTCAGGTCATTGTCTCTGATACGCTGATCTCATTTAAAATGAAAGGAGGAAAGGGAAATTTGTGTTGCAAATCAACAATATCGGCCTTTCATTTTCTGTATTGAAGAGAGAGTGAGTCTGTGAGTATGCAATTGATATTTCTATGAATTTCTGCTAAATATCTTGCTGGAAATAGTGAGAGTCCTTTGGCATTCCTTTAAAGAGCTTTCTCTAATATTCCTCCCTACTGTGCTGGAGAACATAGTGTTGTACAAGTGCAAGGATCTGTATGACTTCTTTTTTTTCCCTTTCTCTTGGAACATGCAGCAGTCTGTGACTTGAATACTTAAAAAGCACAAAAGCACAGCCATACTTGTCTGTAGTCTCTTCATTTTGTAGACTGAAGGTCTAAAAGAAGGTGGAAACTTGTGACTGAGTTTTGACTGAAATACTAAAGCTTTTCATGGGTGCATTGCAAGTGCTTTGGTTTGCATTGAAAGCTTTTACTGTTAACACTTTCTCAAATTTCTTTCATGGATTGTTGCAAGATAACACACCCTAAGAACAGACACATTTGACAAGTGGTGCCAGGTTCCATATGTTCTATACTTTAAAGACTAATGAGTTTGTGTAGCAGCTTCTGTGGAAGTAACCCATTCTCTTTTTCTTTTTTTTTTTTTCCTCCCTTCCAGAATGCTCAGCATGTTGAAGTGGAGAGTATCCCCTTACCAGATATGCCTCATGCTCCCTCCAACATCCTCATACAGGACATTCCCCTTCCAGGGGCTCAGCCGCCTTCTATCCTCAAGAAGACATCAGCCTACGGGTAAGTGGAAAAAGAGACTTAGGGGAGAAGTAAAAAGGAAGCCCTCATATTACCAGGGAAGAGCTAGGGGTAGAAGCAGAGGTAATACTGACTCATAGAAGTCAGGAATTCTGTGCAAGTGAATTGTGCTTTCTTTTGACCAAAGCCCTTTTTAATCTTTCCCCACTATCACAGCTTTTTGTTTAAATTTATTTGAGTAATACATTATGCCTTCTAGTTTTCGTCTTTTTGATATCAGGAAAACTTAGAGCCCTACTGTTTTGAACATAAATGCCCCTTAAATTGCCATATGTGTGTTCTTTTGTCTTGCTGGTATATTCAGTGTATATGAATAGTTCATATAAACTCCTAGTTTGCTTGGTTTTTTTTTTTTTTTTCTTTTCTTTCTAGTGTTAGTTTTTTTCTGTTTCTTTCTGAATAGCCTCTTGTTTTCACCAATTCTAATTATTTCATT